TATTCCTTAAATGTTACTGACTAAAGCTGCAGTTCTGGGTTCCTTACAGAGATACAGATTCTGGTGACATTAGTGGGAGCTTTGCCTGCGTGAAGAGTGTGGATTTGGAGACTTGACATTTTTACAAATAGAATGGAAATGGTGACAATTTTGAGACCTTGAGGGTTGTTTTTAAATAAAAAATTTTGGTCCCAGAGAAGTCTCTGGGAGTTTTGCAATTAACTTATAAATGTCAATGTTTTAATGACATTTAGTTACCAAGTGTGGGCCTAATGGCATAGACCTCAGTAATCCTAAGAGAGTAAATGGATGCCTAAGTAAAGATTACCTTAGAATGATTGAATAATAGCTGGACAGATATTCAGCCAACATGAATAAATTTGTGAGTGCAAAATGTATACCCAGCTAGATTAGATGGATGGAAAGGCTCTCTTATTTAAGCATATTCAAATTACATTTGTCACAAAATTTTGAACACATCCTATTGCAAATGCAGAAATATTTGGGCAGCCCTGCTCTGGGCACCTCTCACATAATGATATTAAGCAGCAGTGCAGTGTCTGATAGAAGGCACATCTTTCTTGATCCTACTGATCTTTTCTCATGTAATCATCCTTATGAATTTAGAAGGATTATCCTCCAATCTCCCCATGTGGTGGTAAGAGGCAGTAAGTCAGATGCTTCTTGTCAGAACAGCAGCCATTGAAGAAAGCATCTTAGTGGTCAGTTAAAAATCAACTGATTTGTTTTCTCAAATCAGTCATTCTTCTGTTCGCTCCTGTGATTCCTACTTACATCTGAGGTAGTTTACTGTACATTGGAATGTTCTTTTCACATATATATACATTTTCATTTGTTTCTGAGCTTTAAAAGTAGTCCTTTATTTCTTTATACCTGCCAACTTTTGACATGATAAAATACATTACTTTTTGTTTACCTCCTGGAAAACACAGATAATTGCAGTGTATAAAGATTTTTATTATTTACATTGAGCTTAGGACACTGAGGTGGTTTCCATCTCTAAAATGGCCTGGAATTTTAAATTGACTGTATAGGAAATACTGAGAAGCCAGACTGTCATCTTGTATAATTATCTTAGCACTATTTGATTATGCTGAGCTTTTCCACGTAAGACTAAAAAGAGATGAAGATGTCACCGTTTGATAATATAAGGTTAGCTATTTTTAAAGAAATCTACAACAATCAAAGCACATTTATGTTTCCCCATGTATTTCAGAGCAGTTTCTAAAGCAGTTCTTATTTGTGCATGTTTAATTTCTGTTAGGTCACTCATCATTTTAATTAACATTTGTAATAACCCTTATCAGCACCATAACTAAAGAAGGTGATTCTGTGCAAATTTAACAGGAACTTTGAAAATATCAGAGCAACTCTGACTCGTTAATCTTCTTCTACAGATGGTTCTGAACAAAAGCCCTGGATCTGGACATATTCAAAATTTGGAGCCATTTTGAATTCAAAGACAGACTGAAGCTGAACATATATGTTGACATCATCTTCATCTGGCTTCATTCACCTACTTATAAGGAAGCATCCTCATTACAAAAGCTGCAAATTAACTGTATTCAGAGGTGCATGTATGGCAGCATGGAATGATAAGGGAAAACACTTGCAAGCCCATACTGGAAAACAGAATAGGAGCCTGCCTTGTTCAACAGAAACACAAGTACTTATTGGTCTCTGTTAATTGAATATTCTCCTCCCTTATTATAGTAAATTACATTACAACTATTGTGCAAGGATACTGGAAATACCTCACTAGGCTACATGATGTGGTTCTACTGGATTTTAAGCAAACTCTGCTGCTGCTTTTCTCATGCTTTAGATGTGGATTTCTGTCTCTGGGATGTTTTTGAAGAATGACTCTCTACCACAAGCTCTGTGCAGGAAGCTGAGTAAGCAAATGCACAGAAACCCATTCCCCAAGAGAAGTCACTTACCTTTTTCACATCAGGTACATTAAAAAACTTCTTGGTATGAGCAACCCATCCCGCTATCCCGATGTCCAGAGGAAAAACAGTCTCATTGTCTGGATTCACCAAATTCTCCTCCAAGCTGGAAGTTGGAGTGACATTGAGAAGCCTGGTGGCCACCTCTGGAATACCATTTCGGGAACGACAAATAAACATACTACACCGATCAGCTGCCAGCAGTTGTGCCAGCCTCTGCAAGGCCTTGTGCACTATCTTTTCCATAGTGCCTTCTTCATCCTGGATTTCTGTTAGCAGCTCAAAAAGTATGTTACACTCCTCCAGACGGGACATGTCTTTGAAGCTGACTCCTTCCTTCACATCTCCAGGGCTGACTTTAAAGATACTTCCCAGCACTTCTGCCCTCATTTTTCGGTTGAAATATTCCTTTGCAAACTGGGGGTTGTTCTCCAAGTATTTTTCAACGGCATCTTTATTTACCTCACCCATTTTTGCTGGATTGTTCTTAGGATTTCTTTTAGAACTGCATCACCATCAAAGCAGGACTAGTAGCAAGAAGTCCTAACTTGATACTAGTAAGAAGATGGTACTTTGTACATATTATATAGCTCACAGGCATAGTACATTCACCTTCCTCTGTGGCTTCCAAGCCTTCTGAAACTCTTGAGATATGACAGAAGGCACTGGCTTAGCATCTTCTTAGTGTGAGATCTTGGAGACTGCTAATTAAAGAGATGTCAGGACACTAAGCCCCTGAGCATTCTTAGCTCATAAATCCTAAGGGAATCATTTTAGCATTTTAAACTAACCAATTAATTCTTAGACCTTATAAAATTGTCTGATATACCTCCTTCATTCACAGTATATATATTGTACTATACACACAAAATTTTCCATTGAAACTTAATATGAGGAATTCCACTTAGATACTTAGCCCACATTATACACGTGCACAGAGGTACACATGTGTATTTGTAAGAGGTACTTAAGGAGGAGGAAAACAGAATGTTATAGAGCAAATTTTAAAATTGCGAAATTTAGTTTTCCTCAAAATAGTCAGGAGTTGATTGAAATTGAATTACTAAAAGTAAATAATCATGAAGCTATACATGCATAAAATGGGTGAAATCCTAAAGACCTTACAAAAGTCTGAGCTTTCTCAAGCGATTTACCCAGGTGAAGATGGAGCAAAAGAATTAGAATTTGACTCAGCACAGCCAGATATGACTTATATATAACTTTTTTCAAAAATAAATAGTCTGAAGGAAAGAGTAAAATCAGAAAATGGCTTGAATTCAAATTGAGTTCAGGAGACAGTAAATTTTTTACTTTATAAGCATAAATAACCTTACAGGGTCCTGCAAGTAATGTTGTTTCTTCTGTGCCTTCTTCAGAAAAAGTGGGAGATCTCTGCTCTTTTAAATAGCAGAAAAATAGTAATAACTGACAGATAGTGGGTAAAGAGGGAGTCTTAAGTCTGGTTGTAGCTTTATAACATGTTTGAAGTTTCCTACCATCGGAAGTTCAGCATTACTCACATGAATGGAAAAGGAATGATGAAAACTGTGTTGAATTTTAGGAACAAACACCCCTCAGGGCTATGTGAGTGCGAAGGCTGAGTTTAAGTTGAGTGCCAACTATGACAAGCAAATGATCTGTGTTCATTGAAACAGATCTGAATTTCAGCACAGTAGGAGGGCTGCAATACAATTAATCTTATTTCTGTTTGTGGCATCCACATTGATCAGAGAGCAGAAAGAGATTCTTGGTATAAGGAAAATAGACCATATACCCTTTGGCAATTCTTAATTTGAAAAGAGTGATTGTCAAAGTACAACTTTATCTGTCTGCCAGAGGCCACAGTGTGTCAACATCCATTTTTATCAACAGATCTAGAAGAATCAACATGGGCAACTGACACTGATCCTCTCGTGCACAAAGAACAGGTCAGTGATTGGTCTTTAACGGCAGCTAACTCAGTACATTAGTTTTCCCTCTGGCTGCGATATGAAATGCTGTGTAAGACACTGATTTTTGCCAGACTGCAGTTGCCATAAAGATTTAAAAATGCATATGAAAATCAGCACAGTATGGACACATTCTGTAGTTCCTTTTCTCTGGCTGGGTTACTTACCCCTAGCAGCCTGCAGGGCAGCATAGGACCCTCACTGGTAGGTGTATGAGGTTGCAGCATCTTTACAGATGTGAAGTGGTGATATTAACTTTGTGGCAGGACTGTGGAACTGCAGCACAGCAAGATGTTCTAACCATTGTACGCATGTACGGTTCACAAGAAAACAGCAGAAGAAATGCACATACATCTTAGTCTTTAAATAGTTTTTTCATAATTCGATCAATACGTATAAAGGCAATAGAGACTTGAAAATCCTTTTATATGTATTTACACATAGAGTTAAATTATTTCTCCTGATCTATCATCTTCCTAATTTGTAGCTCAATACTTCTCATGCTGCTCTTTAAAAAAGAGGATGTTGAAGAGCTCCAATGAAATTGTGCGAAGGAATAGTAACATTTTTTTGCGTTACTGTTTGGTCATAATTTCTTACTGACTTTGGAACATTCTACATAGTAGTTTCTTTGAAGCAGAAAGGGTCTATAAAGGGTCTGTCTCGTGCCCAGCTAAAAATTCTAGAAAATTATCTTCTGCATAAGATTTACACATTCATCTTTATCACATGTGTGAAACCAGCTTTACAAACATTAGTTGTTCTTTATATTGTGATTACATTAATTCTATGAAATAGAGCAACCTGTCACTCTCTGGAGGGAGAGTAAGAAAGGAGAGGCAATCTGACAGAGTTACACTGTTTTCTTGGGGGTGGGGGGTAGGGGTGGGGGTGTTGGTGGGTTAACATTTTGTAAGCTGACAATTTTATTATCATGTGTGCCCATTTTTTTCAATATGCAAGACCACCCAAAAATGCTTATCATGGTTCCACCAAGTCTCCCTCATGCCCAGCTGTTTTTACACATGATAAATTACACTATTTGTACTTTGAGATAACAAATGAACATCATAATTAGGCACTACTGTAAGGTGATAAATCTTTTTTTGTAACAAGATGTTTCAGATGTAGCTGGGTTGTCCTATAATTTCATTCTTAATCATCAAACAATTCTTTTTTTTTTTCCTTAATTTAGATTCACTCTTACAATTGCACTCTTGCTCTGTAAAGTGTTTGTGAAATGACATGGAAAGAAGTATCAGAAACCAATAGAAGTTCTTTTTGAAGTTTATGTTTGGAAGACAGTTAAGTTGGCTTTTTTTCAATAATTGCTATATTAGTCATGTTATGTTTCATTCTGAACTCTATGTACCTATTGATTAATCAAGAATAATTAAGGCAGACCATGAAGTTGAAGTGATTTGGTAGAAATCAAGATGTAGTTTGGTGCATAAATGTACCTTACATTTATGGAAGTCCTCATTTTAGAGTTGGGAAAATACAGTGTATTTGTTTTGATGCTTTTTTGTTTTTCTCATATTAGTATTTTAACAAATTTTGTAAATTAGACCATTTAAACATTTCAAAGTACTAGCATTGTAATGAATTTTAAAGTTTCTGTGCTGGAATAAGACATTTATTTTCTGTTCTACCTATCTCCTTTACTCTCCCTATTTTCCACACTATTGAACGTTTTATCTTTAGTAATGCTAATTCACATTTGTATTTAAGTTTATTATAAGAAACTATACCAAAACTATTTCACGTTTCTGGCACTTTCAAACATGATCTTTCCTAGCAATTTCTTAATAAGATCAGCTATTAAGAAAATACATTTTAATGTAGGTTTCATTATATGCATGGAGGTTTAACATTGGAAACTAACCTCGCACAGTCATTTTCACTGCACTTTTAAAGGCAAAAATAATATGCATTTGGCTTTGATTCTTTTCCACGCTGAGGTGGTTTGATTTAAAAACATGATGAGCTGGGTGCTGTATTTTTCAAATTGTTTTAATTTCAGAGAATATCAGAAATATGTGTGCTTTATGTTTTTAATACATATGATATAATTTGCCTTTGTTGTTCATAGTTATTACAGAAATCAAACTATTTATGGAGTAGTTCTTAGTAGTAGACCATTCCTAAGCCCTTGTGATACATGGAAACTCCTAAGAAGGATAACTGACGGACATGGTTATTTAAATAGATTCAAGCAGCACGTAAATGTCAAAGGTATTTATAAGGTTTCCCAGTTCAGCTCAGTGTTTGTGTCTCAGCGTCTCTGTCCATCTTGATAGCAGTTGATATGGTTCATTCAGTTAAGATTTTCTGAAGAAACATGGATCAAATGTGTTTATTTCAATTGCATGTCTTTTGTGGATAATTTTGTGGCCACTGTCTGGACATTGGAGAGTCATATATATAATCCAATCATATAATCAGAAATATTACTGATTTTTTCTAAATTATTAGGTTGTGAGAATGGATTCTGTAGGTATTTACAACAGGTAGTGTGTGCCCCTAACACAGCCAGTTTTTGGCACTGAAATGTTTTGGTGTCACTGATCTGGTATGTTTTGGGGACCTTTACAAACAACCTTAACTTCTATGTTTCTTTTAAAATAATTTTCTGTCCCTTTTCTTACAAAAGTAATCTTAAAAATGCAAAAACTAAAGATAGTAAGTTAGCTGCTTTTTCCATACGGCTGCAAATTTTCATGGTCCCTTAAAACTACCAATGATTAGCTCTGGGGATTCATGAAATAAGTAGTCAACAGATATTTTAACTTCTAGGGAGAGTTACTGAAGTAAATGGCCAGTCTAGCATGAAGGGGTTAACCTGGGTTGCCAGATGCACTGTAGCTTTGACCATGAGCATGGGTTTCTTGGTACCTTGGCATGAATTTTAGTATATGGACTGAGCAAAGGACAGCAGCCTTTTAATCTCATCCACTCTCACATTTACTCCCTGGTGATCTTAGGTTACCTGATCATGTTTTATTACTGAGAATATTACTCAGCACCTATGAGAAGGGTCTGACTCTGTCTTCTTCATACCCTCCTGCCAGATATTTTCAGGCTGAACAGTCCCAGCTCTCTCAGCCTCTCCTTTTGTCAGATTCTCTTATTGCTCAATGATCTTCTTGACTCTTTGCTGAACTCGCTCCAGTATTTCTGTGTTTTTCATCATTCATAGTTTAAAGCTCTCCTCGCCAGGCTGGCCAGCCTGCTGGCAAACTTTACATCTTTGTTTCAAGTTGTTTCCATTTTAGTAATACATCTAGAAAACCATTTCAATTCAGAATCACAATCCTCACAAAGGTTTGCTAAAGAGAATAAAGGTACCTTTTTAAACTAGGTTTGTTTAAATACTGTTTATAAAGAGTTCAGTGTAAATTTACTCCTTAAGCAGAATGTCATGTCATTAAATTACAAAAACAGGTAGCACATAGGCTGGCATGGTGCAAAGGCCAATCTTTTCAATTCCATTCTGTCCTTGACCTCTGTACTCAGTGTCACCAATGGGAACAGTTGTGATGGTGACAGTGTACATAGTTGTCCCTTACAAAGTACACGGAGCTCCTTGGCTCAGCTCAAGCCATTTGTTGTTGCTTGTTAATATGAGTCTGTTTCCACAGGGCAGTGGCTACACTTGGATCCACTGCTCTGTGCACACAGCAGTCATTCATTCCCCTGCAAAATCTGCCTCTTAAGTGTAATGGATACCCGTGTTTGTGAATGGCACTCTATAAATAAATAACCATAAGAAGACAGCAAAAAGTCTTTCAATCTACATGCAGTCTGGCTGGAAATGGATGCTCCATTTCCTATTACCAGTTCTTTGAGCCAGCTTTCTCCTAAGAGTTAGACTTATTCTTGTGACCACAAATAAAATTTTAGTTCTTTTAGTATTTAAAACTTCAATGTTGCAGTGTTAAAAATGTTTTAAATAGTAATTTAACTCTTGTTTCTTCCTTTTTATTATAAAGTTATAAATGAAACTAAAATAACTCCTACAATGAAAGCTTTTTTCTGCCATTTCCTTTGAAAATCTGACCTTTTATGTGTATTTTCTGTTGCTATTCCTGATGGAAAATACTGCAGAATTTTACAGGCTATTAATGTAAAAAATATTTCAATCACAGAATCACTGCCAGAAGTTAGCCCCTTTTTTATGACTTCTTGGCAAAATTCAAAGGTAGAAGACTTTTTTTGCCTTCAATTAAATACAGTTCCAAGAAATACATACTGACTTTTAGAAAACTTTCTATAATATTCAAAATATGCTACCAGCTTCAAACATCAGAATGGGAAGTCATATATAAAATTTATCAAGCTTGGTGTTGAACCTAGCACAAGTTTTGTAAATGTATGCTTTACATTAGAGGTTATTTGCATGTTTATGTGTTATTAATATTTTAATAATTCTTTTGAATTTAATTGTCTGAGCTTTCCCAGAACCCAGCAATCATTTGATGCCATTGACTTGATCTATGCACATTGCTCTCAGAATCAATTGAAATCCTGGCCCAAATTCTGTTCCTTTCTGTTCGCATGAAAAGTACAAATCTGCAAGGAGTATATCCAGGTTCCAAAGATCTGGATGAGGGTCACTCGCTGGCATCATTTCTCAACCAAACCCATAGCCCAAGTCAATCCAAATGATGATTAACTGAGGCAAAGTTTACACTGTTTATGAGTTTACATAGTTGTGCTGGCATAGCTACATCTGTTAGGACTGAGAAAAATTTCACCCTTGAATTGCCATAACGATACTAGTCTGTCTGCAACCTTCCATCTCTCCTCCAATACACTCCCAATCTAGACGTAACAGAGGACCCTTTTTGCCTAAAAAGCTTGTCTCATTAAACCAAAGAAGGGCTTTAGCTGTATCTGTGAAAGGATTTCATTAATGTAAACCGTGTCTTAGGTAGGCAGAGTTGGAAGTATAGCTAAACCAGAAGAGGCACAGACCCAAACTTCTACTATGTAACCTTCAAATTGTACTGACTTGCCCGGGTCCTCTTCTGCAGTTGTTGAAATCTGACTGGGAAATACTGGTGTGACTTCACTGTAGTTGCGCTCCCACAAATCCACAGTGATAACAGTTCAAAAGAAGAGTTTTCTCAGGCATTGCCTAGAGTTTGTAGAGATCCCAGAGTTGAGGAGCTGAATGAATTAAAAGTTATAATTACTAAGTCTCTGCCAGGTACCTCCACCAGATATGAGTTGCCGAACATTGCAGAGATCAGTGGAGGCACACAATTAAAGAAATGCTGTGCCATGGCTAATACAAAATTACACATTTCTGATTTATTTTTGTTGATGACCTCAGATTAATTTAAGAGACTGTAATGGCTCTTGCACATATTTAGAACTGATCTTATTAAAAATTATTAACAGAATTAAATTTTTGTTTCAGTGAAACCTGGATTGGTCTCCATCTATAAAACTGCTGAGGACAACATGCAGTAAGTATAACGGGACTACTGACCTAGTTTTTCAGAAGCGGTCAGGTTTTGATTCATTTGGATGAGAGACTCCTTTGAAAACCTCTGCCATAGAATTTTCATGGACAATTATGTTATTGACAAAATTTTATAGGAATAGATTTGATCCTGAAAGAACCTCCTTGGGAATATAAAGCAGCATATAGATTTTTGAAGAGGAAAAACTTAGGAGAAATAATAATATTTCACAAATTGGCAGAGAATAAAGAAATAATTGTTTTCTTTGGTATTAAAGAAAGTAATAGATTTAAAGGTTATAAATTAAGCTATAATCCCTCTTCTTACTATCAGTCATGTGAGACACTGAACAAAGAAAATCCGTGTTGATTTTGATCTTGTAAGTATGATGAATTCATATATTAAGACTAGTCAGTGTTTTGTAAAAGTTTTATAAAAATGCATATATATAACTGGTATCACCATTGCCGGGAGCTGGGAACAAGGTTCTAAAAGCCACCAGAGGAATATAGATTGCTGTTTCTCTTCATTCTCTATGGGAATTAGCAAACTTGAAAATCTCAATTTAAAAATGGAAATGTTGGCTTATTGAAAGACTACTGTTGAAAGTTTCAGGACAATTAATATGCATCGACCTTTCTGGTCACCTGTGCGAAATATGTTCTTTACTCCAAGTAGAAGCTTAATACTGAACATAAATTTTTAGTGTCTGATGTTATCCAGGGAATCAAAGGCTTCAGAGCAGACTTGGAACCGCCCTGAGCATTTGATATTTGAGAAAGTGAACAAAAATATACTGTCTATACAAAAAGGCTCCAACAGAAAGCAGAAGAGAAAGAATAACAGATAAATCAGACTGTGCCACTGTTTGCATTACCTATGAAAAAGATTGTAAAGGGCAGCAACAGTAAAAAGTTTAATATTTTTATGAATATATGAAAGGAATAGAAGGCTGAAGTAAATTTCTGGGAAAGGCCATGCTGAATAAATTGTTTAATTCTGTACATCAGCTACTATTGAAGTATTTTTTATACTACATCAGTGTCTCCATATTTAAATTATGTTTTTGCTTAATTCTTTTGCTTAATTCTTTTGCTTAATTCTAATACAGACTTTTCAACTAGCAGGCTTCTGCCTTTATTCTTTCAAAATTGAGAGGTGAAAAAAGTAGGTGAATTAGTTCTCTTGGTAACAATCATTCCTATCCTGCTCTAGTTGCATGTCTAGAAAATAATTAACAGGTTTTCTCTAATGCTTCCTAAAGATGTTGAAACTATAGAACAAATATTGACTGAGAGGCAGCAAAACTTGCCTGGACAGGATAAAACAATAATGGTTTATATAACTGAAAACAGTTTGCCAAAAACAGAATAGAAATTCTGGAAGCTCTGCTTTAAAATGGATGTCAGAAGGGCCAGATGTGGTGCGTACATGCACTCAGGCCACACATATGTCCTACCACCTTTGCAGTACCACACAAAAGTGCTCTTTTGCCTTCCTGAAGATTTGCAGGGCCCCCGTTCCTGTCCCTGAGAGCTGATCATGAGATGGTTTAGCACCCGAGCCAGCCTTTAGGTAGCAAGAGGGAACCAGTCATGAGGACCTGAAGAGGATCTGGCATGACCAGGCTTTCAGAAACATTAGCAGAAACTTGCAAGTATGATGTTTGCTACTGTTTACCAGGAGAAGAGAGGAAAGGAATTTGGGGAGGAGGTGGAGGAAGCAAGTCTGCACCTAGTAACTGGGTTGAGCACGTTGGGTAAGAAGGACTTTGGACTGCAGTGTGTAAAATCACAGAGGAGGTGGAGGCAGCTCACTCTCCCTCGTGCAAAGATGGGGTGCCTTTCTGCTCCTTTGTTCTTTGTTTCCTTTTCCACATGTTCCTCATGTGCACACCCCTTCCCCCAGGTGTGAGCTCTGCCTTTGGGTTAGGAAAACCAAAGAGAGGCATTTGCTGCTAGCCGCTGCTTGGCTGCAGGTCAGGGTCAAAGACCACCTGAGCCCATGGGTGTTACACAAGAGGCTGTTGTGAAGGGGCCTCAGCCTGCAGCATGCATCAACCCGCCTCCCTACTCCCCCTCCAATGCTAGCTTTGGACCTCAGGGGGTTGCGAAAGCCCCAGGACTACATAAAGCATTCCCTGTCTGGGTGCCCCGCCACTGCCATCAACACTTGGGCTCTCAAGAGGCTACAGGGACCGGCACTGTCTGTAAGGGACCCTGCTGTGGTGGGCTGGGGACAACCGGGTGCCTTGCCTGCGCGTGCATCAGGGAAAGCTGCATGATGCCCTGGAGACCTGCCAGGGTAGCCTTCCTCCCTTCCCTGCTTGTGTGACAGAGCCTGTTTCTGATGCAATTCTCTGTCTATTTGCTGTTGCTGCAGGGACGGGATGGCCCAAACGGGGAGAGCTCTGCCCTGGCTGCTGCTGCTGGCATTGGCCTTGCTGGGCAGCAGCATGGCGGAGCGGGACTGCCGAGTAAGCAGCTTCAAAGTCAAGGAGAACTTCGACAAGACCAGGGTAAATCTTCTTTCTCTCCTGGATCTGTGATATCTTGCCTAGCTCTTCTTCCCAGGCTACAAAATCTGGCATTCATTGGCACCAGTGTGTTCACATTTTCACTCAAAGTCACAGACTGCGATACTGAGAAACAGCAGAAGTGTGTGATGTTGCCCACACCTCCACAGATGCTGGATCCTGATGCATCCAAGGATACTGCAGAAATACTGCAGAAACTGAGGTTTAGCAGACTGGTCTCAAACTGTATGGTCTAAACAAAAGTTGGTTGTTTCTATGAATAATGAATACTCTGGTGTTTTCAGACATCATTGCAAGAAAAAAAAAAACATTTATACATAGATCTCTCAAGATCTGCCAGTTGTTACTCTCTTCCCACCAAATTTTGTATTCTAAATGCTGGAGAACTGCAGATACAAATAAAATACCAGAAAATGTCAATTCTTTCACAAACCCTGGCTGCACTAGGACATATTGGTGGGTTTGTGCTGCTGGAACAGCTAGATTTCTTTCTTTGGTACAACTTTGAGGCATGGTGTCAAAAATCTGTGTGTCCTCCCCTCTGTCACCTCCCGTAGTTTGTAATGTCTGTTTGTAATGTTTTCCATACTTCTAGGTCTAACTGCAGCCTTTCTTATTTCCTTGCAGTACAGTGGCACCTGGTATGCCATGGCAAAAAAGGATCCTGAAGGGCTGTTTCTGCAGGACAACGTGGTAGCCCAGTTCACCATAGATGAGAATGGACAAATGAGTGCCACTGCAAAGGGTAGAGTCAGACTCTTCAAGTAAGCTGTTTGCAATCTTCCTCTTTTTCCATTTCACTTCACTTACTGGTGCTCTAATCCTACCTGCTATCCCTGTGCTAGTCGCACAGTCACACCGAATCTGTGCTGTTAGGTATGAATGTGATGTTTCCTTTCTCTCTGGCTACAGTAACTGGGATGTCTGTGCTGACATGATTGGCTCTTTCACTGACACAGAGGATCCTGCCAAATTCAAGATGAAGTACTGGGGTGTTGCCTCTTTTCTGCAGAAAGGAAGTGAGTACTTAGCTATAGAAGATGCAGAACTACTTGGGAGCTTAGTTATGTGTATGTCCATGCTGGGGAAGGAAAAAGTAGTGTTGGATTTCTTAAACACACTTAAAACACGTAATAACTATCATACAGGAAAGCCTTAATGTGAACAAGGTAATCACTATTTTTTATATGAAACAGCCGGTTGGCTTTCTTTAAACAAGTGAAGACCAGGCCTTTGTATATCTTTGTATTTCTTTTGTTTGTTACCCAACAATATAATCGAAGGTCACTGTTTGGAAATAAATGAAAGGCAGATGAAGTATTTTAAGTCTTGTTTTAGTTCAGAACTCAGTTACTGGATGCTTCTGTTCTCTCTGAAAAGCCTAATGTCAGACTTGGTCGAGCAGGGAAGAGGATTTTGCAATTGTTATTGTGCTTGGTCTCCTGTCTGCAAATGTAGAGATTTATCTGTTTTAAGAAACAAATACGATCCAGTATATATATATTCATATTTTCCTGTCATCGGTCACACTCTGTGCAAAATTAGTTTACTGAGCCAAGTAGAGATTCAGACACTTGTAGCTCAAGACATTTCCATGGATTGTTTCCAAGAGAAGCAAGCGGAATTTGGAAGTGATTGGACCTCCATTTTCTCCAAAAACACAGTTACAAAGAATGTTTTGGATGCCAATTGCTCTTGAACTGTTGCCGAATCTCTTTACAGCATTCTGCTGAATCATGTTTTCATGGATACTTCAGATTGCTGACTGACCCCAGACTCTACCTTTCTAAAAACTGTGGTCTCCACCCACAGGAGAGATGGGGAAGAGAACATACAGTGTTGCCTTCACCAGGGCAGACATAGTGCAAGGGAGGATCTTTTGCTCCAGGAGAAGAAGGTGTAGAGATGACACTTTTTGCTGCAAACACCTAGGTTTACTTCTGTTAGCACAGGGTGTCTGTGTGACCAGGTATTTATCAGATTGCCTAACTAAATAGTTAAGAATTCTCTGAAATTGTAACTGTGTTTTGAGAAGAGGGTTTATGATAGAGCTTGTAGCAAATACACTTCTAACACACATGGCAACTGCATGATAATATTTTTCCTTAAAAATACAGTTTAAGTAACATCCCTGGTAGGAAAATAGTTATGGTTTTGAGTAATCTGGAGCATGACTAGCATGACCAAGAGCAGATTTAACTTCTCTACATATTTTTTAAACTATTTTCTGTCTGACTGTTCCCCTTTTTTGGTTAAATAAGAAAACTTTCTTTGTACTTCATGGTAGCTACTGGAATACACGGGGTTTTTTTGTGTTTGTTGCCACATTTTATAATGATATTCAGGCATGGATTTACAAGGCGTTTATTAGCACTTCTTCATGCTGCTCTTGTTCTGTGCCCATGTTAGAGGAGAAGCAGTGGTGCCAACCATTTCCTCTTCTCTCCATCACTGTCTCTGATAAATATGCTTATTTTCTTTTTTTTAAAAAAACCTCCCACCAAAACATGGAGTTAAATACTGGACACAGCAATAAAGAGCTAATCTGTTATAATTTATACCAATCTTCATCATATTATTTTCTTTACAGAGTTATGGCAGCAATCACTTTAGATTTACTAGATTTTACTTGTGTCTCTAACACCTTTGCTTCTTTGCTATGGTTTCTTCCAGATGATGATCACTGGGTAGTGGACACAGATTATGATACGTATGCTCTTCATTACTCCTGCCGCCAACTAAATGAAGATGGCACTTGTGCTGATAGCTATTCCTTTGTGTTCTCCCGGGACCGCAAGGGATTGCCTCCAGAGGCACAGAAAATTGTCAGACAAAGGCAGATAGACCTCTGCTTGGACAGAAAATACAGAGTTATCGTTCATAATGGTAAGAATATTTTTTTCTGAAGAACTTTATTTCAGGGTTTAATGACTAAAGCACTGGGAGTCTCTTGCTCATTAAATAGCAAATGCATAAAGTCTTTTACTTAATGGCTGTAATATTGTCTTTTGAAAACTGGAGCTTGTAGTAAGTTATTTCCAACTTTTACTTCCCTTATCTGAAGGACAGCTAAGGTGTATAGATTTTTATGCAGCATATTACATCAGCTGAAACAATAATTAGAGGAAGTTGTAAAACAATTAAATCAATGTAGTGTGAGTAAACATAGTAAGGATAAACTTCATAGTTGCTGTAAAGAGAAATTTTGTCTCTTTAATCAGAACTCTGCCTTTCTCAGCAAAATAGTTGTTGAAGGGAATAGAATGTATTTTCAAAAACTTCTTTGAAAAATTCTTCACAAAAGGCTTCTAAGGAAAATCAGAAGTCTTGGAAAGGATGCCTCATAGCAGACCCTTTCTCACAGGTCCTCATGCCAACCGTTTCACAAAGGGTTGTGGAAGAGGTACATATTCCTCATACTGGAAGTATGACCCTATCTTGAGTCATATAGTCAGGCTGAGCTTGCAACACAGGGAAGGGTACAGATTAGCTCACTTGTGCTCAAGTATATTAGAAAAGGCCAAATTGTAATTTATGCTACTTTAATCGATGATCTGGAAGTAAATGTAATATACTTACTGGTAAAGATTACACCCAGAGTGGGGAATAGTAAAGAATGAAGAAGACAGATTAGAATATTTAGAACAAAAAAAAATAGTAGCGTACTTGTCCCTACCCTGCTTTGCATTCTGGAAGACACAATATCTACAGAAGATTTGACTGGTGAATCAGCTGAATGTGAACTCCCAATGTAACGCTGTGGCCAAAAGAGTTAATGTGATTCTTCGATGCATAAACCAAGGATGCAAAAGATGAATTTGCAGACTCATATGAGACTGTTGTGCTTGGCATAAGTCTGCTTGCTGTGTCACGTTTGATGATAATCATAACTGGAAAGGGTACCAAGGATGAATTAGAAGTTTCAAAGAAGAGCAGAGAAAATGATTGAAAGTTTGTAAAATGTGTCCTCTAGTGAGTGCTTCAAAGACCTTGATGTTTTTTCATCAGAAAGAGGTTAAAGGCTGACCTGAGCAAAGTCTGTGCTTGCCCACACAAGCAATGGGAATTGGATAATAAAGGACTTGCAAACATAGGAATAATAAATTAAAATGGATGGAACTTTAAACTGGACACATTCAGGGCAGAAATAAATAGCCATTTGTTTAACTCCAAAGGTCATTAACCTTTGCAACAGTTTACCAAGAGCTGTTGTATGTACTTCATCACTGAAATCTGTAAATCAAGATTAAAGGCTTTTCTAAATGACATGTTAGAATAAACTGAGATTGACTGAAAGAACTTTTGTGTATTTTAAAGAAAGTCAGAACAGATGAACACGGTCAGCTCTTGTGGCTCTATTACCCGTTCATCTGACCTATAAACAGAGAGCAATATATTGCCATGTTGTAAAGCAGGTATGCTGACAATAGGGTGCCTGAAAGATCTGCTAAGGTGGGTCGTGTTTAGAATACTTATTAGTGACCTGGAAAAAGTGCCTGACAACAATGAAAATAAAAATTTTGTCTTGAATGAGAATTTGGAGACAACATAAGAGACAGCTGAGATTTAAGGCAGTCAAGACTGAAACAGCATAAATGCAAATGAAATTGGCTTTTGTGAATGATATGTATGATTGCATAAAGGGTAGGATAGAAAAGAAACAATGTCATCATATAAATTGAAAAACAACTTTCTTGATTTGAATGCTGCATTCACTGCTCTTCAAATGAAGTACAGCAAGAATAAAAATTTCTGGAGATGAGAAAACAAAATAATGAGATGATTGGGGATGTTTTTATATTAAATCTAAGATAAAGTGTAGATATACAGCTGTTGTGCTGTGACTTTGAGAGGTGTGTGTTATGGTGGTTCCTTGCATTTCTGTGAAAGCCAGAGAAAGTACTATCCCACTGTAAAATCAGGATATTGGGCTAGTCCAAGTATTGGTCTGATTCAGCATGGTGGAATCTGTGTTTCTACTATTTCTACACTATATGAGGCTTGCAAGGCGATAAATGTATTGTCAGTCTTTGCAAGAAAGTATAAACCAAAAAGAAAAATTGAATATATTCATTTATTCATAATTTGTGATATAACTTTTTCAAGTATCTCACTTCTATATAATAGAATGCTTGTATTTTTTCACAGAATATAGAATAGTGTAATTTAAAAATAAAAGCTCAGAATGTCTTTTGAAAGTTCAGCCTTAAATATTCTTTGAATTCCAAACCTTAATTTAAAAGTTGATCATGCTGCCTCTAGTTTGTTATAGAAATATCAAATCTACTAAGTTGCACCGAGTGCTGTATTCTTTATCTGCTATCCTAATTTATATTCAGATGTTAGGTGTTGAGTGCAGTGTCTGATAAGACTATGTGAGTTCCATACTGTTTGTAAATGAAAAATAGTAGCCGGGGTCCTTAATGCTATCTGCTTTTTATTGAGGATTATGCCAGAGTTTATCTTTATGAGCCCAGCACTGAAGTATAAATGAAACTTAAAGCCAGCAATTTGCTTTCTCCCCTTTCTGGGATCAGGACCTGTAATTATCACAGTGTTAGTTGATTCTAAATTCTTCAGTATCATTAAGCCAAAGTTCCTGCAAAGCAAGTACATTTGGGAATGAGAGAATGATTGTGAGCTAAACTAAAAAAAAACATTTATTGAAAGCTTTTTATCAGAAACTCTTACAAAATTCACTTAATTCCTTATGTGTGGGATTGGAAGCCTTGCTACTTTACTTTTAATTCTGCTATTAAGAGCCACAGAATTAGTATCAAAAAAGCCAACTTCAATTGTCTGTGTGGACCTGCATTCAGTGGTTAGTGTGCTAAAATTCTGACTGTTGTTAATAGATGCTGCAAGAATAGGCTCTAATTGTGCATACTCTGCCTATGTCTTGAAGCTGATTTTTTCCCCCAAGATTTTTCATTAGCTTTTTAAATCAGTACTGTACTCAAATTAAGTTCCCCCAAAAAACCTAACAGATGTACAAAACTTACCTTGATGGAAAAATAATCTAAAATATCTGTTCTTTTTATACTGGCTCTTTAAGGCAAAAGAGAAGCCTAGGAAATTATGAGGTTTTTAGTTGTAACTTACATTGCATTTCTGATGGTAGTTCCTTTCCAAATATGGATCAGGCTGTGATACACTTCGTCTCTCAGAGTAATAGCTCAAGTTGCTTTAAGTTATGCAATGTGAGTGTGGATATCACAGTTGGACTACTTGTAAATACAATATGACATCATGTTAGTTGAAAGCTGAATCTGCTGTTAGCATTTATTAGAAGCAAAAATTGTGAATTAGAGAGTGGTATATTCCTTCAGCTGATTTACTATTGCCATTAGAAGTTTTGGAGGTCAGGAGATCCTTATTTTGTTGAAAGACATTCCTAAATTAATAATTTTTAAAAGGCAAATAATTTGTAGTTTGTTAAAGTAAATAAATAACTCTTTTATCACTCATCTGTCCAGTACCTTGTTTGCCAAAGTATTAAAACGCTCAGGACAGGTGTACCAGATTGGATGAATTCCTGTTTTGTTCTCAGTTGAAAATTCTTTGGAATTATAAACTGCAGAGCAAGGTACTGGCATTATCATTACAAGAGACTGCTGGACTCGAGAGCATTTTAAGGAAATTAGATATGTATGCATTTTAAATTTGGTGAAAGTTTGTATATTTTAATTTTGTCTAATGTCGTTGAAAAACGGAATTTTGTTTTTTGTGTGTTTCAGGATTTTGCTCTTAAGGAGATCCAAAACTATGGAAAGAAACCATGTAACAGCACCATGGATGTAAAGTTAACACATTGATTGGGTGTCCTCTTGAAAACCTTTTAAACGGCTTCATTTAGATTTTGAGTATATTTATCTGAGCTGTGTAGCTCACCTTGTTAATAAACCAATGAAACATTTTAATAAACTTGGATTACAGGGGATACAAATTGCTTGTATGCACATCTGTACATATGTAGACATTGGTTCTATTAGTAAACCATTATTTAATGCACTATTTTGAATAGGTGACAGATAGTGATAATTAAGAATTTAATCTTTCTTTTTTTAGTAGTTTCAATTTCTGACTAAAAGAGTTTTAATGAAAAAAACACAAAATATATGCATTTGCTTTCTAAAACTTGTAATTTCTTTTCAAATACAATGTCATCTTTTTTCTAGGAAATACTGGAAATCATTCCCAATAGCATTTTAGAAAGGAAGAAGGAATTTCAGTGTCCCGATATATCACTGATTAACTTTATTATATGAATACTGAAGACATAAAAAATACACATCTTTTTTAAAGAACTATTTTACTCATGACAAGTAAACATTTATTTATTTATTCTTTATTTATAAATTAACAGGCATTATGTCCATATTTTTAATTTGAGATGGAATCAAATTGGTCATTCACTTGGTGATAATACATGTTTATCATCTTGTTTCCCACACGAAATTGGTTAGTCTGCCCAAACCTATGTTCAGGCAGTCAGTTATCTAAGTGTATAATCAAGGGCTTTTTTTAAATGGAATTGAAAAAAAGAGCAGATACTTTCTGAGGATGTACATTTTCACTAGAAAGTTGATCTCTCTTACTCAGTAGAAAATAGATTAAAAATGGACCAGGAGCCCTTTTGATATAGATTCACTATAACTTCATTAATTTTAATGACATTTATGCCAACTGAAAATGTATCCTCATAAAAATTAATTCGTCTAGTAAGTACTTATTTCAACTATTTTACATTCACCAAGTTCACTGCCATATTCCTATTTATTTCAGTGTAAGTGGAGTATTCAATCCATTGGATTAAATTGTCCAAATCTTACTGAGGCAAAGCAGTGAAGTCAAGAGAATTTTACCTGCAGGAATTAAAAATACAGATTTAGCTTTTTTTTCCTTCTCTGGCACATAATACCATAACATAGTGACCTATTCAACCTGGGATAGTGTAGACATTAACATCCAAAGTCTGGCACAGCTCAGACTTTAAATAGTTATCTGGTAATGAAAGACAAATTTGGTTGTTCATGGTTACTTCTTCTTGCAGTGGTTTCTGTACCAGCCCCATGCCTTACAGGGTTCCCTGTACAACAGAGAAGAATTTCCTGACATTTACGTCTGAAATGAGCAACATTATACAAAATTGGATTGACAGCAGAGTTGGCAAAAGTGAATAACACTATCCAGAAGAAAACTGATGGCAAAATATTTAAATCTTGTTTGTAGTTCTGGACTAAAATTAAAAAAATAATTACTACAATTGGGCTCCACATGATGAAGAAAGAGATCATCAACACAAAGAGAGCTCGGAATAGTTTGTAGTCTTGCTGGGAAACACGAATCTGATGATTTTCTGAGTAGGCTAAACCAGCATTTAAACTCCTTCTTGATGCTTTTGTAATCTGCAGTAAAAGAGAAGAAAGTAATTTTCACTGAAACCTAGAAGAATTATTAACACATTTTTACAAGTGCAAAAGTAAATCTTGGCACATGATGTTTCTGTTTTGAAAAGTGACTACAAGAAAAGCACTGCAGAATTCCATTTTTACTTTTTATTAATGGTTCCATTTCAAACATTCTCACTTTAGATTTTTTTTTCCTCTCAGCTGTGAACTCACCTCAATATTAGTAAAGCTGCTTGTTCTCCTCATGGCTCTCCAACAGCCATAAATACTTCCCAGCATAAAACAGAGCCTTAATTACTCATGAAGTCCCCTTAACTTCAAATTATGACCTCATTTGTTCTATCTAAATAAACCCATTGATTTTTTTTCACAAATGCAAACTGGAACATAGTTAACAATCCTGTTGATGCACAAGAAGGAACACAATCCAATTCTCTTATGGCCGTGCTGATATTATAAGGTAGGTATTAGAAGGAGCATGAATTTGTTACAGTAACTGAATCATGATACGTTTTATATTTGAATGGGATTTTATGTTAAATTTTATGTAAACTTTTAGTTTTTCAGTCAGTAATCAGAATTGCTTTCTATGAACTAACCTGAAATCTTACAGATCCTTTTGTCACTATGAAAATCTGTGTCTTGTAAAAGCACTGTCTGATGTAACAAACCAGACTATGGGTAGTTTGGGAATCTAGTATTCATTGGTGTGAATCATCTGTCATTAGGTAGAACATTGAATCCCAATGGCTTGTAGAAAACTCTAAATCTCATGCTCTACATCCCTGTCTTCACTGAAGTTGGCATAGCACAGTAAGTCTGTTACATTCACATATCTGATGCAAATAAAATAAAATTGAAATATTTAGCAAACAAACATTTAGGCTAAATAACTGAGATGCCATTTTACCTCCTGCATGGGTAAAGAAAGGGTATTTTCAAAAGCCTGGATCAATTTGGTGTCTGAGTAGGAAAGTCAAAAGGTGTAAGACTCTTCCTGCCACTTTTATGTGTGACATTTCCCTTTAGCAGCAACTAAAGGAAGGCTAACGCTAATACTAGTAATACTTAATAGCTTCCTGGTTCAGGTAAGGATAAAAATGGTTATATATATGTTGAGTAATTTGTCATTCTTTCTGCAGTTTTCTGAATTTGTCACAGAGATAGATGACCTACAGTAAATATTCATTAAGAACCTAGACATCTACCAAAGATTGCAACAGAAAGTAGGTGTATAAATCAAAACCCATGATCCAAAAATGGGCTTCTCATCAGCTGCTGAGCCTGAGAAGGGAACAGTCTCACTAGCTGCCTCCCTGATTTAAGAGGGGCAGAGAATTCTGATGTTTTGAACATGTAAAACTATTGCAGCCTGATGGTCTTCTGCTGTTCCCATTTGGAATCCAGAAACTAGGCTAACTCCTCCAAACAATCCGATCCAAGAGTTGTTCTCAGAGGGCACCTAACCTGTCCTAGGAAGAAGGAAGGTTTCATAAAATACAAAGGACTAATATCCACTTCTACTATAAAAGTGGGAAAACCAAGTTCTGTACCCTTCTCAGCCTCCACTGTTCAAAATGGCTACAGAATGCCCTCATCAGATACCTTTGTGTCTGTCCCATATCAGTACCCTCCACCTTTCCTGCTGGAGCTGCACAGCCTAGAACTAAGAATGCAAGAATCACCAGGACTGCAGTAAATAAGACACAACTGCATCTTAAGAAAATGCTCAACTGAAATGGGGCAGCAGTGATATGTTTTGGATCTCTTTTTGGTCTGCCTAGTATAAGGAATCTAGATACCTCTAGTGGACATCTGGACCACAGTCCGAGAACCAGGAACTTAGAAGTCATGTATATACAAGTATGTAACTTCCTGAACACGAACGTCTCTACTAGTTCTAGCCTCTCATCCAAGTCTTGCCTGAGAGGGGGAACAATGCAAAACCAAGTAACTTAATTACAAATCATGGCTTCTAATCTGTAATTTTTGCCAGGGTTCTGGGAAGTGTTGAGTAAAAATAATACTCAGTTTCAGATTAAATTATAAAGTATACATTTGTAGAGTATATTTGTTAACAAATTTGAGGTCTTATATCTGTAGTGAATCATCATCATCATAGATGCTGTGTCATTTGAATACACGAATGCTTTGAACTGCTTCCAGTAACACTGAGCATTGTACTCTGTGTGCACTGGCATTGTGGAGCGCTCTCACAAAGTGAGAGTGAATCTGCTGTTGGGAATGACTGAGGGATTAAGACATTCTCCAGCCGAGTTCTGGTTGCTTCCTGGGGAGCTGTCTGAGAGAGAAGATTCAATTATAACAGATGGGATCCTGCTACAGGCCTTGTTCCTTTTTCAGTTCAGGAGAAATTGTAACACGTCTTAGCATCTGTATTATCGAGTTGGAAAAAAAACGTGAGCATGGCAGCATGAGGCTGTCTTGTAATCCAGTATTCCAAACACTTTTTTGGGCTTCTAGCTCCCTACACACATTGTGTTTTCTAAATTTACCTGTTGTAATCTGGAGTCTGCAAGGACAAGAGGAACACCATTCCTGTCCTGGTCTCTGACCAAGGACTGTGGCATTCCTTGGCCTGCAGTTTTTTGCAGTTCTTTCAAAGGGCTCAGACTCCCCACTCAGTTACTATATGTTCTTTGCCTACAGCAAATATGAGGTTGCAAAAGGCAAATGCTTTACTTCACTAGAAGAGGTTTACCTAACGCATTTACCTCAAGGTTGTAATGAGCTTATAGAGTGCACAGAAACTAAGAGCTCATGATTTTGACTATGAGTTTAAGCCTGATCAATAGGCAAGTACATGTAGAGCCCAGATTCTAGGTCCATGCAAACATCTACGTGCAGCTCTCGTGCATGTACCCACAGCCCCTTGGTGCTCAGCATTTCATCAGTTAATTCCCTGCTCAATAATCTGTGTATTTTGAAGTTCCTTTCTAAAACCTATAATTTTCCTTCTATATAATATGAGAAGTTTAATTACCTAATACAGAAATCAAGAATCTTTGGGGGGCAGTTGCTAAAAACTAGGCATTGCAGCGCCTAGTTTGAAGATTTCTAGCTCTTTCTCACTCTGTTTTTGGGAGAGGAAGGGGTATGAAATCAGATGTTTTAAAATGTAGGTAACTAATATCATGTTTGCTAGAATATAGATTAAAACTCTGTGGTGCCTGGTATCTTGGCCTATATTTCAGCAGTTGAACAACATCCACTCATAAAGAAAATGGAAGCAGAGTGTTTAATTTACAGTTTTTGTTTGCAAAGTTTGAAATCGTGGAGGAATAAGTGTAATCTAATGAGATCTGTGTACTAAAAATACATGCAGAAAATCAGTAGATCTAAAAGGGCGTGAATTTTTTCTACTCCTGCCTCTCTCTGCTTTCTTACAAGTCCCTTGTGACTCTGGAGTTCAGGCTCAAGGATAGCAAAATCTAGTTTTTAGCTATTTCAAATGCTTGACTCTTTTGGCATTTAGGAGATTGACTGTCTTTAAATGAGAAATGTATTAAATAGTATATATAAATGAAGACAAACTTTGTGTTGGGCTTTTGGTAATGTGCTGTTCAAGCATGTTCTTAGTTGAAAAGTATAGGCTGTTATGTACAGGTTGAAGTGCCTCATTTTATATCACATACTTACCATTTACTGAGCAAATGATGTCTATTCCCTTTAGGTGTATTTGTATTCAACGACAACATGTTGATGCCTAGTGAGTTACTGTTTACTTCCCTTTGTTCTGCAACAAAATTTAAAGGAAAAACATACCTGTAAGATTTTAGAATAACTGATGACAATGACTAATCCTGGTACTAGAAAGAAAACAATGGCAAAGGTCACATCCCAAACTATTTCTCCTGCAAAGCTGGGCCAAACCAAGGTGCAAATCTGAATCTCCTGTTTACAAAGAATAAAGAAGAAAATTAACATTGTACAGTTATTTTTACTACACAGTTGTCCTTATCTCCCTCTACGCTTATGGAGAAAATGGCTGCAGACTAAACCAAGTCTGTGAAAACTTTCTACTCAGAGCAGTCAATTAATGTGTTGCTTAATGGTTTTAAAAGCCCATACAATTATAAATAGATGTGTTGTCCACAATCTAAATATAGCCGTAAATTTCATATCAAATGCTAATGGCAACTTTAAAACTGAAAGTTATAGACTTAAACTTAATCATGTATTAGAGTGTCATGTTGGGTGTACTTTTGTATGCATTTCAAAACACTAGGCAGAAAAATCTGTGCGTGCCCATTTCGTACAGAGGATACCGCATGTGCTGGGCAGCTCTTCCGGCATGCTGACCCCTCGCTAAGGGGGAAGCGTGCGGAAAAGGCGATTTCCGAGCCGCACTGGGCTGGGGAACGCAAAAGCCGATGCGCACCTCGTGTCTAACGGAAGGGCCCCCCGGGCGAGCGGGACGGGAGGTGTCGGCGGCGCTGCCGACGGCGACAGCGGGCGCGGGTCTCCCGG